TGGGGCCCTGCGAGGGGCCTGGGGGGAATCCGAGGAGGGAGATGGGAAACGGGGTGCAAAGGGGTGTGTGAGGGAAGGGTTAGATCAAAATAGGCCCCTGGACCCTTGGAGAGCCACTGACTCCAGCTGCGTTTGTAGGTATGACAGGTTTTTAATGCTTGTTTTTGCCTGGTACTGGCTCTCCTTGTCCCTGGAATCCCAACTCCTGACCCATCTTCCCTCACTCCAGCATGGTTCTATCAGACACGTCACCCTCCTCCCTTCCCTTGCTAAGTGTGTTTCATCCCCGTGTTATCTCTAACAGTAGGAGGTAATAAGGAGAAAAAACAAACCCCTTAATTCATAGATGAGCAGAAAACTTAAACCAGCTCCTTTTATTTGTTCCACGCTTGCAGGTCAGATTTATTCAATGGAAATAAATTTGCCCAAAGCAATGATGAGCGAAGTATAGTCTGAACTGGTACTGCTGAGACTCTGTGTCTTTGCTCTGACCAGGAAATGATCACGTAATCTTCTCTCTGAGCTAATTTAGGCTGAGCTCATCTGGACTAAACAGCTTTGCTGCTTCTTGAAACTTTGTGATGCACCCTAAAAAATCAAGTTGTAGTGTCAGGCCTGGCATTGGTGCTCTGCTCTGGATGAAGTGCAGCCCTTTTGGTGGCAGGGGGAAAGCTGGGCTAACTGAGCAAGTACAGGAAAAGTTATGGAGCTGTTCTCTTAATCTAGTTTTTGTTCTCTTCCAGGTTTGGCGACAGCTTTACTTTCCTTTCTCTCTTTCTGTGGAGAAGGAAGCTCCTATGGGTAACAGGAGTATAGTCGTGGTGGTTTCCCTGAACAGGAGAAGGCACGTGGTTTCTGTTAAGGAAGTAGGTAAAGCAACTCAGTTACTAATGCATTATTTTTTTAATGAGTGTCCAGATGAATCATAAATGTGGCTTAGGTTCACTAAGCATTTTTTTACAAGACTTGCAAAGTCAAGTTCTGGCAGTAATTGGGCAGCTCCAGTGCTGCTGTTACTGTTACTGGATTAAGCAATAGAACAAAGCACCCTGAATGTATATATGACTATAGAGAAGTCACAAATTAGTATGGAAGTCCAAAGGTTGGTTTAATAAAGTTGGTGTTCCCTGAAAAAATCTTTTTTTGTCTATCTTTAGACCATCATGGCTTTAGTGACACTATTACAGTTAAAAACAGGTAAATGGGAATGTTTGTATAACCCAAATTGGTTTCCTGGCTTTTCTTTTAGAGCAATAAACCTGATAAATGGGTATGTGTTTGGTCACTAAGGACAGGAGGGTTAGAAGCAGTCAAATCCAAGTTGGTATTCTGCAGTCTTCTGCAAGAGCAGGAATAAAATCTGCCAGGTAACTGCTGAGCCTGTCACCATCGTGGGCTCAATACCTGTTAGTCAGCGAGGCATTAAAGAGCAACTTCACATTTGAGAGAGAGCAATTCCAGCTGTTGAGAACTGTGAGGCTGGGATGTGGGTGGTTCTGTGCAGGTCTCAGAGCTGACATGGAGTTGGCCAAATCCAAATTTAGCAGGAACAGGGTGCTGTGGAGTGGGGAGAGGTGGGGTGGAAGGCAGCCAGGTGGGCATCCTGGAGAGAGGAAGAGATCCTCACCCTGGGAGATGGAGGTGTGGAAGCCCTGGAGCAGCGTGTGTGCAGGCAGCTTGGCTGTGTGACTCAGCAGTGAGTGAATCCTGGATGAGAGGGGAGGATGGTGCAGAACTCACCCAGGAACTCTGTAGTGCTGGGCGGTGAGTCAGCATCGGTTGGTCTGTCCCAGGTCTGCCCAGCTTCTCACTGAGCAGCAGACAGATAATTTGGAAAGTACAGGAAGCATAAAAGGAAAAGAAACCTATCCTGAAACTGAATCATCAGTCAGATCACAGAATCACAGAATGTTCGGGATTGGAAGGGACCTCAAAAGATCATCCAGTCCAATCCCCCTGCCAGAGCAGGAACCTCAATGAGATCACATAGATCTTCAGCCCTTATTTAAATGGTTGCACTAGAGTCAAGGGGACAATCCAGCCCACGTCTGTCTAATCAGACAGGTCAATGTCACACTGCAGCAGCAGCAGCGTCTGGGGTGCTGCTTTCTCACAAGAGATGATGATTTCTGTGTATGAAGCAAAACTGATGCAGCAGGTGTTGTGAATTAATACCCAGCCCAAAGACAGCTATGTTAAAAGTGATTGGAAATCTTAGAAAACCTCACACCTTGATGTGATTTCTTTTCCAGTAAGATGTGTGTGCTCTTACTGGTTTTCTAAAGGAAGAGAGGTATCTTTATGGATCCCGTAACTACTGGAAAAAGGAGAAATGAGACAGTGTTTATTATTATTTCATAGTGGCACAGCTAGAAGGGTCCGGAAGTTGTATAGAGATAATAAGATGAGCATTGGGGACCAATCTCATTTGTGACAGTTGGTGTTTTCCAGAGCATCTTTGGGAGGATGTAAATGACTGTATTTTTTCCACGTTACTCAATAACCTTGCTGCCTCCTTTACAGGTGAGGGAGGATATTAGAGATTTTTATCTTCTGAAGCAGAGCTAGAGTGGGGAGAAAATGAGATGACTGGTGCAGTGGATTTAATGTTCAACTATATCTCTTAATCTGGAAAAAACATGTACTTTGAGTAGCAAACTTTGCTCTTCATATTCCATAAGCAATGTCACCGTGATGTCTGGAGTAGCCAACTGCTGCTCCCTACAGCCAAGTCAGGAAAAAAACCTCCCACTGTGAAAAATCAGCTGCCAAGCAAGAACCAGCCATAATGTCACACATTTTCTTTCCTCCTCTGTTCAATGAAAGGATGTTTTGTTATGATATGAACGTCCTACATGGTTGGGACTGGAATGATTGTCATATTTAAATCAAACTTAGACATTAAAGATTCCCAGCCTACAAAATACTCATCTTAGATCTGTTATTGCCATCTACAGAGATGAAAGCAGCTTTGGTTTAGTTTCCCGTATGTAAACAGAGCCCCTAGAGGAGCAAATTCTTTTTTCCAATCCTCAGAAAAGAAATAAGTTAATTTCTCAATCAAGAATTTTGCTTTATAAAAGCAGATTATTCAAAGACTTGCTTAACAAAAACCAACTCTCATCATTTGGCACAGTTGCTGCTTATTTCATCTGGTTTGTAGTTTTTCCTCCCTCGTGCAGAAAATGTGATCTCCCTCTTGTCTCCTTGCTTGTACACATCACCCCTTGCTCCTTTAATGAGTCAAAAGTCTTAACTGACAACTGTTGATGGGAATTAGGTGGGTGATGTTCTCAATTCAAAGGCGAGTAGCCTGAGAATGACGTGATCAGAGGAGAGGGCTGAGCCTGTCACTACCTCTTGACAAGTGCCAGCGCTCGCCCCGGGCAGCGTGCGCGCCTGGGAAGCTGCGAAGGGAGGAATAACTCACCTAGAGAATTTCCCCAACCTCTTTAATTTGCTGGCTCATGCCCTCGAGCAGGACTTTTACCAGTGATGCTTTTTGATCCTCACATCTGATTTCTTCTTATCCAAATCGAAGTTACTTCCCTTTTGGTTGGTCTTTGAAGGCATTTCTGTGCTGGCTAACAGATTGTGGCTGTCCCATCCCTCTGAAACTGTTTGAACAGCGAATAAACAAAGGGGAGAGCTTTACCAGAATTCACAAAGGCAGCAAAACTCTGATGTACCATGATTGAAAGGAGCTTTAGATCTTACTGATGAGCTGTAGTGGTCAGAAGTCTTCTATGGGACATAAGAAAAGGTGATTTTTCGGGTCACTGCTCAGAGCTGGGTGTCTGGAAGCAGGAGGCGGGCGGGTCAGCTCTCAGGAGAGTACAGTTTGACAAGGTGCTGCAGCTCGGTGGCGTAGCCTGTGACCGGGCAGCGCTGCTGAGTCTTCACGTAATTATACGCACAGCGGTAGCAAAACACGAAGCCAGACGTGGACAGGGCCGTGGCATTGACGCGGATTTTGCGGCACAGAGGGCACACGGTCTTCAGTTTGGGTAAGAGAGCAGAGCCAGCCCCCTGGTCCAGGTGCACGGGGGGTGGAGGAGTCGGGAGCGCTGTCAGAGATTTGATTGTTTCTTGGTTTTCTGAGGAGTACCACCAGTCCAGGAACTGGAGGAAGAACACACTGACGGACAGGCCGGTGGACAGGGAGAAGGCAATGCCACCCAGCGCTCTCCTCACTGCTGACTGGACTTGTGTTTTAATGCTGTGAAAGAGAGAAGATACGAGAAATCGTTATTACTGCACTTGTCCCTCTGTGAGCCACAGCGACAAGGACTTGGGGAGTAAGTCACTGCTTCATTCAGCTTCTTAACGCTGAGAAAATTGGTCAACAACATCCCATGTTTGTAATGAGGCATCTGCTAGGATGTTTCTCCCAGATTCTTTGTCTTTTAAGAAATCTTCAAGTCCTGTTTTGTTCAGAAGTCTAAATTGAAAGAGTTTGGATTGAGGGGACCTGGACCACAAAGCGTTTCACTCGTGCATCATCATTTTACAGGGCGTTAAGTGTGGTCAGGACTAGCTGCTGCTCAGAACAACCAAAGAGCTTTGTTTCAGTCCTTTCAGCAGTACTGTTGCAGTCTGCTTCCCTTCTTAGAGAAATGCAGGTGAAAACTGAACAGGATAAAGGCTGGAGTGCCAAAAAAGACCCCCAAACATGGCAATTTTATTACCACAAAATCCTGTGAAGTTAATCCCCACTACTTGTTTCCTTATTTACACTAATAACATTCCTTTTTGGAGCACATTTTGCCAGGGGTTATACTTAATCTTGAAGAATTTCTGGAAAACAAGACAGTTTTACTTGCAGCAGCACCTCTAAGTTAACACACCCACAGAACCCCTGAGAAAGCAGCAGTTAAGCCACGTTCTGACATACCTGTGTGTTTGACTTGAGGTGGCTCCAGCCAGTTTCTTCTCCAGGGCCTGGATATCCTCTGCAGTCAGTCTGACGAGACGAACACCAGCCAGGCGCAGCATGGGTGAATGGTGCTGAGCTCTGCCGAGGATATAGCACAGTTGCTGGATAAGAAACCAGCCCTCCCAGGTCATGTTTACAAAGGGGTAAGCAGCTAGAAAGGCTCTGTAGAAGCGCTTCCAGGATGATGAAGGAGGGTGGATGGAGTACTCATCCTCTTCCCTCAGGCTGGACACCAGTTTCTCTAGCTTTCCTTTCAGGTAAGGAACAAGAACCAGCAAGAGGAGAGACTTCCAGTGCTGCCTCTTTGGCAGGCCAGCAGTGGCCAGAGGTGGTTGTTGGCAATCTCTTAGCGGTATCCTCTTTAAGCTGTAGAAGTTTTCAGAAAAGGAGGCACTGCACCTGGCCAGATAGTGCTGCTGGAGCAGGAAATCCAGAAGGACGTAGATCTCATCAAACCAGTGCCAGAGGAAACCGTAGCGGCCAGGATTAGACTCAGCAAGCACCTATTAAAAGGGACATAAACCAGAAGGAAGCGGAGTAACGTGCTAATTAATTAGGGCCTACAAGAAAGCTGGGGAGAGACTTT